CTGTAACTAAGGTCTGCTCAGCATAATTATGTTGTTGGTTGATTCTTTTTGGGGGTTACCTGATGCTGAAATCAAAATATTTGTGCGTAATTTTGTGCTTACAACTACAGATATTTTGTATATAATTTTATATTTTCAAGATGACGGTAAAATTTTAGATTTTTAGATATATTTTTAGATCGTAAATTGTATTATTGATTATTTTACTATAAAAAATGTATTTTTATATTTTTTTAGATTTGCATTGATTGTCATTTTGATATAAAAATCTACTGTTGGTCATTTTATTCTAAAAATGCACTATTGATTTTACCCATAGCTGGGATCCTAACAGGTGCTACCACCGCAGGTCTGGGTGAACCTGGTTGTAACAATAATTAACAGGTAGTTCTACGCTTCTCAAAACTTCCAATCACCTGAACAGAAGCCTTGCGGCTGTATGTAGTTGATCGTCATGCCCAGGATGAACCACAGGTTGAGATCTGTCGATATCTGTTAGGAATTATGAAGTCAGTTTCTTATTTTTGTTATTTCTCCATTTGAGCTTTTTTTATGGCGTCTTTTTAATATTTGAAAAATGACTCCATATTTGCTATTTATAAGATTATACGAAATAAATATTTCGTCTTTTTCATTTTATCTTCTCTATTCCTAATGATTCTATATTTAATTTTTCCTCTTTCATTGTTCTTACTTTTGAATTATAGGATATCATCGAAATAGTACGACTTATTTTCTCGCCATCTCTGACGTCACTAATATAGTCATAAAAAAAACTTCAATTTGGAACTTTTCGAAGATGGTGCATACACTTCTTTAACTATATAAACGCGCGTCTGTTTTCGTTAAACACGTTCGTATTTCAGACAGCCAGATAAACACTTTTAGGCAAATAGATGTCGGAAGCAATGTTGAGTTTCATCCACAGGTATTTTTATTCACCAAAAAAGGTAAAATTGAAAAAGGAATAAAAAAAATAGAGTTTCTTAAAACAATATGAACAGCAAATAAGAAGAAATACAAGCGGGTCTGGGACTAATTATAAGAAAGAAGCCAGGGTCTAGATAAAGACACCGAATATCACAGAGTTCTTAGAAAAGAAGCGTTGTTCAAATGTAGGAAAATCGCTAAGAAGGCAAAGAGAGGAAGGACATTGAAAATAAACAAGCGGGTTCAATGTAAGTGTCCGTGTGTTACGAAAAATATGAACATGAGTAAAATAAATTGTACAAAAAAGAAACTCCTAGGAATCCTGGAGAATGGGATACTCACAGGTTGAATAAAGGAAAAGAGAGACAAGGGAAAGTAACGAAAGACATACCTGGCGGGTTTAAGCAAGTGGATGACAGAACATAATCTGGGGGAGGTGGCAGAGGGACTAAACCTATTGAGAGCTACAAGGGACAGGGCGATGTGGAGAGCCATGATCGCCGACGTCCTGAAAGGACATGGCAGATAAAAAAATAATTCCTCTTCTTGCAGAGGAAGAATAATTGTTTCTTACTGAAGATGCTCAAGATAAAAATGGTAAAAATTAAGGCGAGAAATTTTCTTTCTGAGAAGACACAAGCCGTGGGTTGAACTGGGATCATAGCACCGTACCCTAAAGGATAAATGCCGCTAAAGAAGATAAAGATAATCTATAATAAAAGGGTGACAAGACAACTTTGATGATTTCTTGAGTTTGCACTCTACGTATTGCAATTCTTATCAAATCTATGTTTAATACACAGTCGGGGCGTTCTACCTTGCTCGCAATGTCACCGTTGGCTAAAAATATTTCTTAATTAAAGTTGTCGTCCTTCTTTCTTGTATGAGAAAAAACCCGGTGACTTTAGTTTCAGCTGAAAGAGCTTGTCTACTCTGTACTGTGAGTCTTGCTAATACGCATTGCTTGTTAGAGGGAAGTTTTTTTTACTTCTACCATTTACTGATCCATTTTTCGGACTTTAGCGATCTTTTTTCAATGTGAAAATCTTTGGCATATTTAGCTAGTAACTACTGTCCAACGGCAGTACATTTCCCTCAGAAATAACAATAACGAAAATCCAAAGACGGCTATGCAATATGATAGGTCATGATCTGGCATCTCGTCTACAGTCACCTTCTCACAGACGTAATGTGGCTTCCTTCTATCTTTTCCACAAATATTTTCATGGCAACTCATCTGTCGAGCTATTTTCACTGGTACCCCAACTGCATGAATTTAAGCGTGCTACTAGGTTGGCATCTCGGTCCCATCCTTTTATTATCGAAAGAGTTATAAGCAACTGCCTCTTCTACTCCAGGAGGTTCTTCTCTTGCTCTTCTCAACAGTGGAACTCCCTTCCTCTTATTTGCTTCATTGATAACTATAATCTTCAAAAATTTAAATGTAATGTCAATCGACATCTTCTAGTGCCTTCATCTTGATCCCCGTCCTTCTCTTTATTCTTTCCGTAAACACTTCTCTTTACTGTTGCTCTCACTCTCAGTAACCCCTTGTGTGCTAGTGACACTCACGTCTTGCTTGGAGTGAAATGTTTTAAAAAGAAAAAATAAATACAGCACGAGAATTAATTTAAAAAGTGATACAGAAATCGTAAAAAGAAAAACAGATAAATTAAAAACAGATAAATTAAAAACAGATAAATTAAAAATACATAATTCAACTAAACAAAAATTAAACAAGAAAATATAAAACGAACTAGAAGAGAAATTTTTAATTTATTTATTTTTATTTTTTTTTTACAATAATTTTCATCTTTACCTGGCTTCGGCTGGGTTGTTTCAAAATAATATTACGCGCAGTACCCCCCACTCCTTTGGGAGGGTGCTGGTGTCATTACTCGACGCCTGAAACGTCCCAAAAAAGGGTAAGTG